TCTGAAAAGATATCAAGCTTATGAATCATGTAGACACCCCGACTTGATGGGCTAACAACAATTTTAAAAGATAGCTAGTAACAGCACCAAAAATACATTTTTAAGTACATTATCTTGCTGATACTCAAAAAAACATTATCAGTTTGTAGTAAGGCTCATCTAAATTTTCATCCAGTCTTGGGACTCTTCTTAAAAAAAAGCCTTAAATCAATGATACAATTTAATCCTGAAACCTACACTAAGTAGTTTTAAAAATCATTACATAATAGTCTGCATTAAAAATTACAAGTATGCCTGCGCAACTTCTGCTTATTCTCTGTAAGACACTAGGTACAATTTTAATTTTTATTGCCCCAATGACTAATGCTGTTGAGCACCTTATACGCATAGCTACCATCCATGTATCTTCTATGGTGAAGTGTCTGTACAAATCTTTTGCCTGTTTTTAAATTGTATTGTTTGTGTTCTTACCAAGTTTATAGAGTGTTCTATATATTCTGGACACTAGTCCTTTAGCAAACATATACTTTGCATGTATTTTCTTCTTGTTGATGGCTTGCCTTTTCATTCTTCTAATAGAATCACTCAACAGAAGTTTTAAATTTTGATAAAATCTAATTTATCAGTTTTTCTGCATGTGAACTGTGTTTTGAGTGTTATATCTATGAAATCATTTTCTAAATCAAAAATCACAGAAATGTTCTCTTGTATTTTCTTCTAGATATGCTATAACTTAGGTTTTACATTTAGAGCTAGGATCCAATTTCAGTTAGTTTATTGTATAGGAAGTGAGGTAGGACTACAAGTTCACTGTTTCACATATGGCTACCCAATTGTGCCAGTACCATCTGTTGAAAAGACTACCTTTTCCCTGCTAAATTTGTCAAAAATCAGTTGTTCATTTAAGTGTGGGTCTATTTCTAGACTCACTTTTCAATTCCATTGATCTGTTTGTCTATCTTTTTGTCTTGTTTACTATCAGTTTTTATAGTAAGTCTTCAAATCAAGTGGGGTCAATCCTTCAATTCTGTTCTCTTTTAAAACCTTTGTCTGAGCCTGGTGATGGGTATTAAAGAGGGCATGGATTGCATGGAGCAGTGGGTGTTATATGCAAACAATGAATCATGGAAAACTACATAAAAACCTAATGATGTACTGTATGGTGACTAACAGAAAATTAAAAAAAAAAAAAAAAGCTTTGTCTATCTAGATCCTTTGCATTTCCATATGAATTTTCAAATCACTTTGTCAATTTCTAAATAAAAGCCTGCTGGGATTCAGATTATAACCACACTGAATTCATATAGATCACAGGGAGAATGGACATCTTAAACAATATTAAGTCTTCCTTTTCAGAGACAAGATTTATTAATTTATGTCTTTTTTCACCATTCACAAAGTTTTCTAGTTCTCTGTATGTCTTAGGAATCTTTTGTCAAATTCAACCTAAGTATTTCATATTTTTCATGCTATTATAAATGGTATTTTTGAATTTCAATTTCCAATTGCTTGTTAACAGTAGAGCATATAGAAGTAAAACTAATTTCTGTATATTAATCTTGTATCCTGACATCTTGCTAAATTCCTTTATTAATTTAAATTTTTTGTAAACTTAAAACAGAGTATCACTATATTACCTATTAGAATGGTTAAAACTAACAAGACTGACTATTACAAGTGTGGACATGTGGAGGAAGTAGAATTTTCATACACTACTGGTAGGAATGTAAAATTTTACAACTACTTTGAAAAACACCTTGGCAATTTCTTTAAAAGTTAAGCATACGTCTACCATATGATCTAGCCATTCCACTCCTATGTATTTACCAAAGAGAAAGGAAAGCATATGTCCACACAAAGACTTACATATGAACGCTCATAGCAGCTTGATTTGTTATAGCCAAAAACTAGAAACAACCCAAATATCCATCAACAGGTTAATGGATAAACCAACTGTGGGATATCTACCAGAATACTGCTCAGAAATAGAAAGGAATGAGTTACTGATACACAAAACAACATGGATAAATTTCCAAATTAACTGACTGGAAGAAGCCACAAAAACCAATACAAACTGTTTTATTTCATTTATATAAAATATTCTAGAGTGCCAACTAAATCTAGAGTGACAAAAAGATCAGCAAATGCCTGAGGAAGGCTTGCCAAATGCCATGAGGAAACTTTTGGGAGTGAGAGTCATGTTCATTACCTTGATACTGGTGATGTTTCACGTCAAAACTTACCAAACTATACATTTTCAGTAAGTGTAGTTTTTTTTGCATGTCATTTAGATCTCAATTTAAAAAAATAAAATAAATGTAAATATAAAATAATTGTCACCAGGTACCCGGAATATACTTTTTATATACTTTTTTTTAATATAATTCAAATACTGTAAAATTTGACATTTTAAGTGCACAGTTCAGCAGCTTTTCTGTATATTGATGAGGCTGTGCAACAATCACCACTATTTAATTCCAGAATATTTTCATCACCCCAAAGAGAAATTTGTAGCTGTTAGCAGTCACTCTACATTCCCTCCAGTCCTTCAAAATATATTTAATTTCTAGATGACAATGTATTTCATCAGGTCTCTGCAATTCAACCCTCAAGACCTTTCAAGTTTAAGAGATTATTTTAAGTTAATTTCAAGGGCCTGTGTAAACACTTCTACTCTTCATCATTTTCTTCTTTCCAATGAGAATCAGAACTATACTGATAAAGACACGGATAATTTCAGAGATGTTCCAATCATAAAAAATCATTTTGTATATATGTGTAATTGTAACAGTGATTCCCAATTATTACTTTTGTTAAAATATTAATCCCCAAAGTAGAAACTTTATCTTCCTCTTGGCTTTCCTTATTATCAATGCCAGGGTTGGCTAAGACAGAACCACAGAAGTGAATGACAAAGAGATGATGTCTTTGCAAATTTTGAATGGTACATAATCTGAAAAGCTTTAAAAATTTAAGTTAACATAATCCATCTTGAGATAATTCCACCATGAACTACATTTTCTCAACAACTATTCATCATTTAATATTTTAAAAACTTTGGGTAAAGCCAATGCCTCACTGGAAGGAAAATTTATACTCTACATTGAACCAACTCTGAACATTATGATTGATACTTGTGTCTGTTTTTTTTTTTTTAAAGAAGACATCACCATTTGCATTATAGCGTATGTTTTTTCTAGAAAAAAATGATAGTCATAATCAGAATCTAGCAATTTTTTTATTATGGAACAGTGTCAGTGATGAAAAATATACATAATAAACCTTGGAATAATTTGTGCCTGTTTTTAATGATTCTATTATCCTGCAGGTTATTTTGGGAGCAAAGAAATGAAATGTGATAAAGCAAAAAATAAAAGCTGATACTAGAATTTTTACACTCCTACATTTAGCACATACTGTGAAAAAAAAGACTCAAGCGTTACTCACTGATTAAAAATGAACTTTTTAACAGACTCTTAACTGTACAGAACAAACTAATGATTACCAGAGGAGAGGTGGGAAGGGGAATGGGTTAAATAGGTGATAGAGATTAAGGAGTGCGCTTGCTGTGATGAGCACCAGGTGATCTATGAAAGTGTTAAATCACTATATTATATACCTGAAACTAATAGAACACTGTATGTTAACTAGAATTTTAAAACTTAATTTTTTAATTTAAATAAATATTAACTTTTTATATAATATATTCCAAGCATACTAAATCACAAGTTAGATATATGCCCAATGATGTGCCTAAGCAATGTATTTGAGCATTAAAAATTGATATTGAAGTATCATTTATAAGGAGGCTATATTTCTTTAGGAAAAAATATGGAATAAGCATTTCAAACTGACTATGTAATTCAAATATCAAAGATAGAAAAATTCAAAAACATGTAATGCATATCTTTCTGCTATTATTTTCAAAGCACACCATCAAGAGTAAGTAGATGCTTGATACCTGAATTGGATATCATCAAAGACCTCTGGAACCTACAAAGGTACAGAATCACTAAACACATCCACTTCAGAAAAATTACTGGGTACCCAAAGAAAAGAAGAAAACCACAAAGCCTCATTAAAATGCAGGTGTTAGTTCTACACTATTCAAAATTTTGCCTGAAATATGAACTATATCACCATGGACCTTGCAGCCTGTTAACAGTCAAAACCATTAGTGTTAAATCCTTAGATGTCAAGAGTCTGTTCTAAATGCTTGAAAGATGAACGAACATATGAAGAAAGGAATTCAATAAATCTTCTAGGCATAATGTCAACATAGGATTTGTCACCAAAAAAAGTAACATTTCTTCTACAGAAATGAAAATTAAGTTCACATGAAAACCTGTACCCAAATGTTCACAGTAGCTCTATGCATAATGACCAAAAACTAGAAACAACAAAAATTTCCTTCAGTCCTTGAATCAATAAACTGTGGTACAACCACACAACAATATTCCACCAAACACCGAGTAACAAACAATGGCATAAATAAAAACTTGGATAAATCTCAGAACCATTATGCTAAACACAAAAAGCAGTCTCACAAGGTTACATACTTCATAATCCCATTTATGTGACGTTCTCCAAAAAATAAAACTAAACTGATGGAGAACCAATCAGTGGTTGCCAAAGTTAGGTGGGGAGGTGAGACTGTAGAGGGAGAGCAGGAGGGAATTTTTGGGGTGATGAAACTTATTCTATATCATGACTGCGCTACCAATTACATGAGTCTATGCTTGTGTTAAAACTCATAGGCATGTATACCCAGAAAAAAACAGCCAATCTTATCACATGAGAATTTAAAAAATAAACTGCATTTCTAAGAACTCAACTAATTTTATACACCTGTTTTGAAAAGTGTGACAATGTTGTAGACAGGCAATTGTTAAATACATTTATTCAAAAATATTTGTTACTGGCGATAACAAAAGCCAACAAATCAAGTGACTGAAAAATCTGTAAAAGTGTATTAGCTTTTTAATCAAAAGAGGACTTACCAAGTTCATTAAGACTCTGAGCAGCTTTTGTTATCTCTCTACTTCCCCCTTGCAGTTGTCCTTGGAGTCTCTTAGTGAGATACAAGATGCGAATTATTCTCCGAAGCAAATCACAGGCAACCTGTGCAAATATCACAATGTTCAATAAGTGTAATCAATCATGAAGCTTTATTACTATTCTGATGTGAATCTGTCCATTCTTTCCAGATGTTAAAGACTCATTTATGTCTTTTTTATGTTTTCTACCCATCAGAAACCTAAACAAATCATAAAGCTTGGAAAGCATCATTTAACAAAAAACTCCAATCTATCCCAAAAGAAGAAATTTGGGGATTGAGGTGCTGTGCAACCTAGGAACTCCTTTCCTCAGTCCTAGACCAGTTTTCTTCTCTAGGCCAGTGGTTCTCAGTCTTCATATTAAATTCAAATGTGTAGGTTCAAAAGTTCCAAGCCAATGCCATAGCCTGATCAATTAAATCAGAATCTGTAGAAGTGGGAACTAAGCATCAGTATTTTTTTTTTTTTTTTAATCTTCAGTGGTGCCAATGTACAAGCAAGGTTGACAGCTACTGTGTTGGTGCTGCCTACCTATTGCCTCTTATTGTTTCTAGTTCTGGTTTCTCTTTTCTAGGTCCACAGGGGAGCAGACTTAAAACTTCTCCCGATTTCACTAGTCCTTAAAGAGTAAGTATCCCCTACTTGAATTTTCCTAATGGTTCTTTTATCACTGATAACAAGCTATGAAACAGTTATTAAAACAAAAAGAAACTACTATATGTATGTGTGTGTCTATGTATGTATATGTACGTGTGTGTGTGTGTGCATTTAACACTTCCTATTCTCTTTTCATCACCAGATCTAATACTGCATCTTTACCTAGCCAGAAGACTAAGACACAAAATGAAGACCCATGTATTTCAGGACACTATTATGGAAGCTGGATCCAGAGCAATTGCCTCAGGAAGAGACAGAAGAGGGGAGACTGATGGAATAACAGGTATGTAGTGACCTTTAGCATCAGGACTGATAACAAAGAGAGACAGTCTATGCTGTTCATTACCACCATCTTTGTGGCCCTGAAGCTGGTTGAGAGGAACATCTCCCATCTAAGGAGGAAAATCATAACTGGAGGCAGTAAGAATTAAAAGCACCAGGAAGAGTTAAGACTCCATCTATAAACATTTTTTTTTTTCTGAATGAAACACACATACACATCCGGAGAACCACACATGCACCCACATAACATACAGAGACACAAAACATAAAATTTGTTCAAAAATACAATGTTTACAAACATATATAAGACAAAGGCGACCAGTTACTAAACAGGCTTCCCTGAATGTTTTTCTGAGTAACTATAGTCTAAAAGCACTTACAATGATAAAAAAATGCCAACTAAGAATTTGTCCCTGAAAATTGGAAGATTTGGGCATCTTTATCTTTTAATTAAATTTTATTTATTTTCTGGATAATATAAGCACAATTCAAGATTCAAAAGAAAAAAAGTCACCCTCATATCTCTATGTCACAAATATGCACTTACCAAAAACAGTCACTGTTATCAGTTTCTTGCTTGTCAGGACACCGTTTTTAAACGAACCATTTGGAATGCAGAATCCCTAGTAATCATTCCTCTGGGATTCTAAATACATCATGAGGAGAAATACCAGATCTTACTTTAGTCTAATCACCTAGAATTGTGCTTCTAGAATTCCCCAGTACATACCCAATAAAGGATATGCCCTCAAAAATGAAATCTTTGAGCTTATTTCTAATGCTTTTATTTTTAACCACACTTAATCTGTCAGCAAGTCTTATCGACTATTCTTCTGTTGCATAACACAACAGTTACATTATCTCTGGTCCTACAAGCATCACCTAATCCAAATCTTTACCACCTTCACCCTCACAATGTGGTGTACCAGCTAGCTTTCCAATCTCTTCCTGAAATCCACCCTGCTAGATTTATCTTCCTAGAAACACAGTTTCCAGCACTCCAACCCCCTTTTTAATAAACTTCAGCAGCTCTCTGCTGACAGATTATGTTGAATCTCTCACAACAGCATTTAATGAAATGCTCAGTCAAAAAGTCTTAGATAATCTATAAGGCATCATTTACCACCATTTCCTGATAGAGTGGCCTCCACTCTGGTCAATTTCCCTTCCTTAATTTTTATTTCAGACTTTTATAACCGAATATAATACAAACATTATTCAGCACTAAAAAGAAATGAGATATCAAGCCCAGAAAAGGCATAGAGGAACCTTAAATGCATGTTACTAAGTGAAAGAAGTTAATCTGAAAAGGTTGTATATTGTATGGTTCCAAGTATCTAACATTTCTGGAAAAGGCAAAACTACGAAGAAAGGAAAAAGATAGTGGCTGCCAAAGTTTAGAGGAATGAATAGGCAGAGTACAAAGGATTTTTAAAATACTCTGTATAACACTATAATGATGGACACAGGTCACCATATGTTTGTCCCAAACCACTGAATGTACACCAAGAGTAACCCTGATGTAAACTATGGACTTCGGGAGATAGTGATGTGTCGATGTAAGTTCACCAAGTGTAACACATGTACCTTCTGAGGGGTTGGGGGAGATGGTGATTAAGGGGAAGGCCATGCATGGGTGGGGACAGGGGATATAGGAGACACCTCCATCTTCCTCTTACTTTCGCTGTGAACCAAAAACTGCTCTTAAAAATAGTCTTAGAAATAGATACAGATATTACAAACACAGAAAACCACACGCAAAAATTATAGCTAACTGAACTTGGAACCACCATGTAGATCGGAAGACAGAACCATGTCAGTGACTACAGAAGCTCTCCATGTATGTACCCTATCCTAGCTCTCCCATCCCAACCAAGAAACACCACTACTCTGGTTTTTGTGGTAATCACTTCCTTACTTTTATTTATGGTTTTATTACTGAAATATATGTACCCAACTGCTATAGTTTAAATTTGCCTTTTTTTTAAATCCATATAGGTTCCCTTATCATCTCTTACTTTTTCTTTGCAATCTGCTAAGTATACTGGACCATCTGTCCTATACACTTCCCCACAGACTGGGTTTCACAGAGTTCATTCCAACAGTACAGCTGAACATGTTCCTCTGTCTTGCATGTTTCCTATATGTTGGCAGTTGGACATACACAGACTTGCCAGACTCAGGCTTAATATTTTGAGTATTTTCCTCAGGTACCGGTGCATGTGCAGCACATGCATGATTTTCTCTCTTTCTGTGTCATTAGCAGTCACTGATAGTCAATGTCAAAATCCATTAAAATACAGAGATTACTCTAATTCTATCATTTTGTCTTTATTTGCTAGCATATAAAATTTCCCCATAAAAAGAAACTTTACCTTACCTACTATTTGTTTACCTGGTGGTACTGTTCATATAGAAAAGTAAAAATAAGTATTTGATTCCTTCCCTTGCTTCATCAGATTTCAAAATTAAAGACTGCTTTCCTGATATCTACAAAAGATGAACAATTAGTGGGTTTTGTTTTGTTTGGGATGTCAGTATGAACTCAGAGATTTAAACATAATAAATAAAGGATGCCACACTACTGTAGCTCTTATCCTTGCAGATGCTGACCTTATCCCTTTGTGGCCAGTGGGAGACTCTCAGGGTGATCAATTGTACCAAATGACCGAGAAAGAGGTCTCCCAGGACCTGGGACTTCCAGTGCTAAAACTGGGATTGTTGGTCACCCCAAAGACTCTTCAAGTTGGCTCCTCAATCCTTTTGTCTTGACTTGTCTTAGAGTGGCTAATAGGTTCTTTGATATACAGTATAAAAATACTCCAGGATCATTTTATACATTTCATGCCCCACACCTGGAATCAAAGGTTTATCAAAGAAGCCCTAGTTTCTTTTAGATGTCAGGAGCATTTCAACCACCACGACCAAGTGGGATTTATTCCAGGGCTGCAAGTTTGGTTCAACATCCGCAAATCAATCAATGTGATACAACACATTAATAAAAGAAAGAACAAGAACCATATGATACTCTCCATAGATGCTGAAAAAGCATTTGACAAAGTACAGCATCCCTTCCTGATCAAAACTCTTCAAAGTGTAGGGATAGAGGGCACATACCTCAGTATTATCAAAGCCATCTATGAAAAACCCACCGCAAATATCATTCTCAATGGAGAAAAACTGAAAGCTTTTCCGCTAAGGTCAGGAACACGGCAGGGATGTCCGTTATCACCACTGCTCTTCAACATAGTACTAGAAGTCCTAGCCTCAGCAATCAGACAACAAAAGGAAATTAAAGGCATCCAAATCGGCAAAGAAGAAGTCAAACTATCACTCTTCGCAGATGATATGATACTATATGTGGAAAACCCAAAAGACTCCACTCCAAAACTGCTAGAACTTGTACAGGAATTCAGTAAAGTGTCAGGATATAAAATCAATGCCCAGAAATCAGTTGCATTTCTCTACACCAACAACAAGACAGAAGAAAGAGAAATTAAGGAGTCCATCCCATTTACAATTGCACCCAAAACTATAAGATACCTAGGAATAAACCTAACCAAAGAGACTAAGAATCTATACACAGAAAACTATAAAGTACTCATGAAAGAAATTGAGGAAGACACAAAGAAATGGAAAAATGTTCCATGCTCCTGGATTGGAAGAATAAATATTGTGAAAATGTCTATGCTACCTAAAGCAATCTACACATTTAATGCAATTCCTATCAAAGTACCATCCATTTTTTTCAAAGAAATGGAACAAATAATCCTAAAATTTATATGGAACCAGAAAAGACCTCGAATAGCCAAAGGAATATTGAAAAAGAAAGCCAAAGTTGGTGGCATCACAATTCCGGACTTCAAGCTCTATTACAAAGCTGTCATCATCAAGACAGCATGGTACTGGCACAAAAACAGACACATACATCAATGGAACAGAATAGAGAGCCCAGAAATAGACCCTCAACTCTATGGTCAACTAATCTTCGACAAAGCAGGAAAGAATGTCCAATGGAAAAAAGACAGCCTCTTCAATAAATGGTGTTGGGAAAATTGGACAGCCACATGCAGAAAAATGAAATTGGATCATTTCCTTACACCACACACGAAAATAGACTCAAAATGGATGAAGGATCTCAATGTGAGAAA